CTTTAATAATTTTTTCATTGTCAAGATTAGCAAACTTAGGCATGACATGCCAGCAACAATTGCTGACACTACACATCCAAGTATATCTGACCAAATTATGAAAGACAAGCAATGTAATTTTGAATTCTGTAAAGTGAGTGTGGAAGAGGTGAACAAATTATTGTTGTCTATTAACAATGACAAGCCACCGGGGTCTGACAACTTGGATGGAAAATTGCTGAGGATAATAGTGGACGATATTGTCACTCCTATTTGCCATATTTTCAAATTAAAACTACTAGAAAGTGTGTGCCCCCAGGCTTGGAGGGAAGTAAAAGTCATTCCGCTACCTAAGAATAGGAAAGCCACCTTTACTGGCTCAAATAGCTGACCAATTAGCCTGTTACCAACCCTTAGTAAACTGTTGGAAAAAATGGTGTTTGACCAGATACAATGCTATTTTACTGTAAACAAATTGACAACAAACTTTCAGCATGCTTATAGAAAAGGACATTCAACAAGCACAGCACTTACACAAATGACTGATGATTGGCTGAGATAAATGTATGATAAAACGATTGTGGGGGCTGTTTTGTTAGACTTCAGTGCGGCTTTTGACATTATCGATCATAGTCTGCTGCTGGAAAAACATATGTGTTATGGGTTTACACCCCCTGCTATAATGTGGATAAAGAGTTACCTGTCTAACAGAACACAGAGGGAGTTCTTTAATGGAAGCCTCTCAAACATAATCCAGGTAGAATCAGGAATTCCCCAGTGCAGCTGTCTAGGCCCCTTGCTTTTTTCCATCTTTACTAATGCCATGCCACTGGCTTTGAGTAATGCCAGTGTGTCTATGTATGCAGATGACTCAACACTATACACGTCAGCTACTACAGCAACTGAAATAACTGCAACACTTAACAAAGAGTTTCAGTTAGTTTCAGAATGGGTGGCAAGGAATAAGTTAGTCCTGAATATTTACAAAACTAAAAGCATTGTATTTGGGTCAAATCATTCACTAAACACTAAACCTCAACTACAGCTCGTAATGAATAATGTGGATATTGAGCAAGTTAAGGTGGCTAAACTGCTTGGAGTAATCCTGGATTGTAGACTGTCATGGTCAAAGCATATTGATACAACAGTAGCTAAGATGGGGAGAAGTATGTCCATAATTAAGCGCTGCTCTGCCTTCTTAACAACACTATCAACAAGGCAGGTCCTACAGGGGTGTGGACGAGCTGAATGTACCGAACTGTCTGTTTGGAATACTGGCACACAGCTCGGACGCCCATGCATACCCCACAAGACATGCCACCAGAGGTCTCTTCACAGTCCCCAAGTCCAGAACGGACTATGGGAGGCGCACAGTACTACATAGAGCCATGACTACATGGAACTCTATTCCACATCAGGTAACTGATGCAAACAGTAGAATCAGATTTTAAAAACAGGTAAAAATGCACCTTATGGAACAGCGGGGACTGTGAAGAGACACACACACAGGTACATACACACATACATATAGACACTCACTCTACACCTACGTACACATGGATGTTGTATTGTAAATATGTGATAGTGGAGTAGTGGCCTGAGGGAACACACTAAATGCATTGGGTAAGGTGTTATGAAATATAATGTCATGTAATATTTTAAATTGTATATAACTGTCTTAATGTTGCAGGACCCCAGGAAGAGTAGCTGCTGCAGCTAATGGGGATACTTAATAAATATAAAAAACACAAATACCTTTGAACCAATAACCTCGCTACTTTCTTAGACAATGAGTTTGGAAAGCATATTTATAAAAAAATTATTGCAAACATTGATTTAGCTTTTAGACACACAAGTCTACAAAAAAAACACTTCATAACTGCCCCAGGGGAATAGATGCAGCTGCTCCCTTAGGCCAGAGGAGGTTTCACTGTCCAAGTCCCAGTTAAAGTATAACCTGCTCCATATAGTTTCAAACCCTTTCTGTAGGGGTCCTTGTTCCCAGTTTAACCAGTATTTGTAGTGGAGGTGGTCCACATGTAACCCCGTTCTCTGCTGAGGAGTAGATCAACAGTTCAGTACAGTACAGTGCAGTAGGTCAACATTACAGTTCAGTACAGTACAGAATAGTACAGTAGGTAAACAGGACAGTAGGTCAACAGTACAGTAGGTCAACAGTACAGTAGAATATAGTACAGTAGGTCAACAGTACAGTAGGTCAACAGTACAGTAGGTCAACAGGACAGTAGGTCAACAGTACAGTAGGTCAACAGGACAGTAGGTCAACAGGACAGTAGGTCAACAGTACAGTAGGTCAACAATACAGTAGGCCAACAATACAGTAGAATATAGTACAGTAGGTCAACAGGACAGTAGGTCAACAGGACATGACAGTAGGTCAACAGTACAGTAGGTCAACAGTACAGTAGGTCAACAGTACAGTAGGTCAACAGTACAGTAGGTCAACAGGACAGTAGGTCAACAGTATAGTACAGTAGGTCAACAGTACAGTAGGTCAACAGGACAGTAGGTCAACAGGACAGTAGGTCAATAGTACATTAGGTCAACAATACAGTAGGTCAACAGGACAGTAGGTCAACAGGACAGTAGGTCAACAGTATAGTACATTAGGTCAACAGTACAGTAGAATATAGTACAGTAGGTCAACAGTACAGTAGAATATAGTACAGTAGGTCAACAGTACAGTAGGTCAACAGGACAGTAGGTCTGTCCCTGCTCCACGCACCAAGCCTACGGTGTGCGTCGTCAGCCTGGTAAGGCCCGTTCCTCCTCCACGCACCAAGCCAGGGGTGCGAGTCGTCAGCCTGGTAAGGCCCGTTCCTCCTCCACGCACCAAGCCAGGGGTGCGCGTCGTCAGCCTGGTAAGGCCCGTTCCTCCTCCACGCACCAAGCCAGGGGTGCGCGTCGTCAGTCCAGCACAACCCGTGCCTGGGTCACCGGTGCCTGGTAAGGTACCGGTCAACTGCTCCACGACGGAGCTGAAGCTAACCGCTCCTGCTAAGTCCAGTTCAGCTCCAGCCAGCGGGGCCAGACTGGACCAGGGGCGGTATGGGGGGTTTATTGGAGGGTGGTGGGCAAGGCTGGAGCCAGAACCGCCGCCGAGGAGGTATGCCCACCCAGCCCTCCCCTGTTTTGTTCAAGTTGAGGCGCGGTCGCAGTCCGCGCCTTTAGGGGGGGGTACTGTCACACCCTGGCTCTGGGACTCTATATGTTGAGCCAGGGTGTGTTCATTCTATGTGTTAGATTTCTATGTTGGTAGTTCTAGTTGTGTTTATTTCTATGTTGGCTAGAGTGACTCCCAATCAGAGGCAACGAGTGTCAGCTGTCGTTGGTTGTCTCTGATTGGGAGCCATATTTAAACTGTCTGTTTTCCCTTTGTGTTTGTGGGTTCTTGTTCCGTGTTGGTCATTGTTACCGTGGACTTCACGAGTCGTTTCTTGTTTTGTTGATTGTTGTCTATTATCACTAAAGATAATAAAGTTAACCATGTTCGTTCATCACGCTGCGCCTTGGTCTATTCAATACGACGATCGTGACACTACCTTGGAAACATGTCAGAGTGGTCCTAGCTTCCTGTCTGGTGGTAATGGGGTTACCTTGGAAACATGTCCGAGTGATCAAATCTTCCTGTGTGGTGTCCCGTATACAACCGGAGTTCCCTGATCCTGGTGCAGAAGAAACAGGGTTTCTCCCTCCCCTTGCTGATTGATAACATACAATTCAATAATAAGAAAAGACAATACAAGTAAAAGTTGTGCCAGGTCTCTCTTCATTCAGAGACATCAGTGTCATGCCCGTCTGTCAGTCTGAACTTCATCACATCGTCTTGCAAGTCTCCATGTGCCTGGCTCCATACATGTTTCTGTGAACACAAACACACTGTTCTATTACCAATGGCAGTTAGGATTGGAAAATATCTGACACACAAACCGGTACTATGTTGAAGTTTGAACAGGTCAGATAAAACTATGGTCTCCCCATCGACGACCGTTGGTGAGCAGGCAAGACGTGAGGCTGGAGGTGAGATTTTTGCCAGAAGCCGGTTGATGGGCATAGCAGTGTAGATCAGCTTCTGGCCCCTAAACAAAGATACTGAACGGTCAGAAAAACACAAAAATGATACTGATGAGGGCCCCCCTTGCTGGTCTGTTCTGCTGCAAACTGGACATCTCTGGAACAACTGCAGCAGGCAATCCTCATAAACAATGTACTTCCTCATCTGATGATGTGGTGTTGACTGGGAGGGCCTGTGACAGGGAGATATAATAGACAGCCAAGTGGTAAACTGCATTTTGTTGTAAAGAACGGACAAAGCTTTTAATAATGCACTTCACAACCAAAATTACTCTACTAATTGTATATGCTTGGCTGGGTAATTAACTTACTAGTTTATCAGAACCGGGTATTTTTTTTATACAACGGTTAAAATATACATAACCAGATACATAACCATCAGTCTATGGTCTAGCTACCGGTATACTCACCACCACTGCACTGGGGACCAATGAACTCCAACCACCTGTTCTGCATGATAGGGTCCAAACCATAGTTTGGCAATATGTATAGGGCTTTTCAGTTGAAGGCCATGAAACAACAGAGCCCCATTCAATGAAGGCAAGAGAAGTGGGTGGAGGGGCACACTTGGAGCTCAGACGCTAGTATTTGTGTAAACTCTGCATAGTTCTGTGAGCGTCACTGAGTAGGCTGATACCAATTTCATGGGTCCACCATCTGTATAAGTATGTCCTCATTGTAAAGTCTATCACATCCACAGGTGGGATTTCATCTAATTGTTTTTTTGTCTATCTGTGGAGGTATGCATTTTGAGAAACAACCTTGATTTCAGTTTACTTTCTGTGAAATCATGTGACCCTTAAGAACCAATGAGGTTGTATCTGAACGTTGATTAGTCATTGCATAACAGACGCAGTATAACGGTATGATTTTCCTAGAATGGACCATCAAAACGTTTCACTTTCATTTTGCTTTCTATAAAAGGTGTTAGACTCAGGCTGTAGATCTACCGCTCTGTGACCCTGACTCAGCCCGCAACCTGCTTGTCCGAAAGCGTCAACGATTTCAAAGTAAGTGTGCATTTAATTGACTAGATCAGTGTTTCTGAAACTATGGGTTGGGACCCAAAGTGGGCCTTGGGCATGTGAGAGGTGAGTCGCAAGATATGAGAATACATATATATAATCGCACACTATTTCTTTTTTAATTTGAGTCGTTGGAGGATGATTTCGGTCATGGGATGACGGTCAATTTCTAATTTGGGTCTCGAGCTGAAAAACTTGAAGAACCCCTGGATTAGATCCTTCGCTCTGTACAGTTCCATTGGAGGTTGTGCTGTTATAGCCTAAGGCAGATGTTACCTCAATCGACATTGAAAGGACTCAAACCTAATTGAAACTGTAGAAATAATGGACCACATTTATTTTCCTCTTGTCATGTCAGTCATTGCAGACCTTAGAGAGCAGTGGAGGCTGGTTGGAAGACCCACGGTATAGGTTCGGAACGCACAGAGACGAAAATCAGGGAACAGGAGGGGACTTAGCTGTAAATACAAATAGCAGATACATTCCATTACAGCTGTGCCATCGTCGGTTTGGACAACGGGTTTCTCCATGATGTTAATTTTATTTATTTATTTCACCTTTATTTAACCAGGTAAGCCAGTTGAGAACAAGTTCTCATTTACAACTGCGACCTGGCCAAGATAAAGCAAAGCAGTGCGATAAAAACAACAACAACACAGAGTTACATATGGAATAAACAAAAACGTACAGTCAATAACACAATAGAAAATCTATATACAGTGTGTGCAAATGTAGTAAGTTATGGAGGTAAGGCAATAAATAGGCCATCGTGCAAAATAATTACAATTTAGTATTAACACTGGAGTGGTAGATGTGCAGAAGATGATGTGCAAATAGAGATACTGGGGTGCAAATGAGCAAAATAAATAACAATATAGGGATGAGGTAGTTGGGTGGGCTAATTTCAGATGGGCTGTGTACAGGTACAGTGATCGGTAAGCTGCTCTGACAACTGATGCTTAAAGTTAGTGAGGGAGATAAGTGTCTCCAGCTTCAGAGATTTTTGCAGTTCGTTCCAGTCATTGGCAGCAGAGAACTGGAAGGAATGGCGGCCAAAGGAGATGTTGGCTTTGGGGATGACCAGTGAGATATACCTGCTGGAGTGCATACTACGGGTGGGTGTTGCTATGGTGACCAATGATCTAAGATAAGGCGGGGATTTGCCTAGAAGTGATTTATAGATGACCTGGAGCCAGTGGGTTTGGCGACGAATATGTAGTGAGGACCAGCCAACAAGAGCGTACAGGTCACAATGGTGGGTAGTATATGGGGCTTTGGTGACAAAACGGATGGCACTGTGATAGACTACATCCAATTTGCTGAGTTGAGTGTTGAAAGCAATTTTGTAAATAACATCACCGAAGTCAAGGATCGGTAGGATAGTCAGTTTTACGAGGGATTGTTAAGCAGCATGAATGAAGGAGGCTTTGTTGCGAAACAGGAAGCCGATTCTAGATTTTACTCAGACAAAACTCAAAATTCATAAAGTCAAACACATACTGCGCATCTTGCCCACATCAAAATAGCCCAAGAAACGTTCCTGAATAAAGCCCTGATCGTCCACATACCTGAATAAAGCCCTGATCGTCCACATACCTGACGATAACTGACGACTGCAAGCAGACTGATGGCACCATAGGTCCCAGAGTGGTGGGGACATTTCTACCCCCTGGGGCTGGGAGTTTTTCCTTATATGTTAACCTAACCAGGAAAACTCTGGACACTATAAGGTGATTAATCAGTTGTAAAAAGGTTTTATAAATTGGCTATGATGGGACCAGTTTTTCCTAATCAGGTCACATGGTTTTAAAAAAGTCCTGAAAAAAACTTCAGTCTACTTTATTTACTAGACTAAATAAGTTGGAAAATTAGGTAGGGGAGTACCCGGACAAAAGTAACACTTCATTTTTGTCCTATTTACTCAGAGATCGATAGAGCTATTGACCAAATACTTATTTTCCACCATAATTTGCAAATACATTCATAAAAAATCCTACAATGTGATTTTCTGGATTTTCTTTTCTCATTTTGTCTGTCATAGTTGACGTGTACCTATGATGAAAATTACAGGTCTCTCTCATCTTTTTAAGTGGGAGAACTTGCACAATTGGTGGCTGACTAAATACTTTTTTCCCCCACTGTACATAACTTTAGTTCAAAATACAGATACATTCCTGTTAATGTTTATTTTGCATTCTCTTTTATTTCAGGGGGAGAAAGAAATGTCATATGAAGATGGACCGAGGTGGGACAACATTACTTCAGTTTTCAGTTTTGAAATGATGAAGGCCTCCATTTTCCACTTGTTATTGCACCCTTGCAGTACTACTCTGCACTACACTGTACCACCATACTATAATCCTAATATTCTGAATTTTATGGTGATGGGGATTATTTATACAGTGGTGATTATTTATGCAGTGGTGATTATTTATACAGTGGTGACTATTTATACAGTGGTGATTATTTATACAGTAGTGATTATTTATACAGTGGTGATTATTTATACAGTGGTGATTATTTATACAGTGGTGATTATTTATGCAGTGGTGATTATTTATACAGTGGTGATTATTTATACAGTGGTGATTATTTATACAGTGGTGATTATTTATACAGTGGTGATTATTTATGCAGTGGTGATTATTTATACAGTGGTGATTATTTATACAGTGGTGATTATTTATACAGTAAATAGTGTGACATTTTGTTACACTTGGTGCAGTATAATTTTTTGGGGGGGATACATTTTCTTGTTCCATGTACGCCTAATGATAGTTAGTTACTAACTAGAAAATCTGTGTAAAATGATCAATTTAGCCATGCATAAGTCTACCAACAAATTAACCATTCATAATTGCATTGTTTTGTACTCCTGACATACCCCCAGCATGTTCCAAGACCAGCTGGCGGAGAAGGTCCGGCCTTTCATAGACTTAATAGATGAATTGAGATCCATAGGAATAGATAAGGAGATGCCACTGCCAACCATTGCTGTGGTGGGAGACCAGAGTTCAGGAAAGAGCTCTGTGCTTGAGACCCTTTCTGGGGTGGCGCTGCCCAGAGGGACTGGTGAGATTCTGTATTGTTTCCTGAATATACAAAAAAACTATTGAAATCTATATTAGCATTTTAAATGTCATGCCCAAATCACCCAAAGTCTCTGAAAGTGGTTGTTTAACTTAGACTTGATTTGGGCATTGACTAGTTTTTGGTTTGAAAATGCTGAAGTTGGCGATTTAGGACACTGGCAAGGTAAACAACCCTGAAGCAGGTTTTCACACTATCCTTGTCCATAGACAAGGTCAGGAAATATAGACAGTACAATAGGACCACAGAGACAAGGACATTGCTGAAATGTTTAGAATATTCAAATTAACTTGATAACCGCAGCAAACCTGTTAAATGCGTATTTACTGTACATGAGTTTTCTAACCATTTAGTGACACTGTAAATGTCTGACATGCTTTTAGATCATTGATTGTTCTGTTATACAGTATAATGATCTGTCATTGGTACTTCCTTGTTTACAGGTATTGTCACCAGGTGCCCACTGCTACTTAAACTGTGTAATGACAGGTCAGTGAAATGGGAGGCTGTCATCTCATACGGAGGCAAATTCAGTTCTGATTTTGACGAACCCTCAGAAGTCGTGAGACACGTTGAACAAGGTCAGATGGGAACGAACACACACACACACACACACACACACACACACACACACACACACACACACACACACACACACACCACACACACACACACACACGCACACACACACACACACACACACACACACACACACACACACACACACACACACACACACACACACACACACACACACACACACACACACCACACACACACACACGCACACACACACACACACACACGCACACACACACACACACACACACACACGCACACACACACACACACACACGCACACACACACACACACGCACACACACACACACACACACACACACACACACACACACGCACACACATTATTTTATACTGTATATTAACCAGTGGAGGCTCCTCAGAGGAGGAATGGGAGGACATTGACTTCAATACAAAACCTAGGGGGCTCATGGTTCTCACCCCCTTCCATAGACTTACAAAGCAATTTTGACAACTTCCGGAGGACGTCCTCCAACCTATCAGAGCTCTTGCAACATGAACTAACATGTTGTCCACCCAATTAAAGGATCAGAGAATTAATCTAGAACTGAAAGCATAAGCTACAGCTAGCTAGCACTGCTATACATAAAATGTGGTGAGTAGTTGACTAGAAGAGAGAAAAACAATAGTTGAACAGTTTGCAACAAATTAATTTCTTCAGAAATTAAGGAGAAGCAGGAGAGAACGATCTACATTTCATTTTTACTTACTTAACTAGCTAATTCAGCTAGCTATTTATTTAATTTTTTGTCATTTAGCAGACGCTCTTATCCAGAGCGACATACAGGAGCAATTAGGGTTAAATGCCTTGCTCAAGGGCACATCGGCAGATTTTTCACCTAGTCGGCTCGGGGATTAGAACCAGCGACCTTTTGGTTACTGGCACAATGCTCTTAACCACTAAGCTACCAGCCGCTTTAGTGTAGCCTACTCAAACACCAGGCTCAAACAGAGAGGGATGCTATGTTAGCTAGCTGGCTATGGCTATCCAACACAGGAACTCTTCCAAGTCAAGGTAAGCTTTTGTGTTTAATTAGTTTTTAGCCACTGTCTCTGAAACACTGCCTGTGTCACTGCTAAACTGCTTGCTGCTGACTGAAAACTGTACTGCATCATTGTAGCAGCTGATGTGTTGTGCCCCTAAGTCTACAAGCGAAGGGAAAAGGTGAGAGGAGGAGAGTGCGTATATGGGAGAAGGAATTATCTATACAATGATCAAAGGGATCATGCTGTTTGTATTTTGCTGCTATGAAAGTGAACTGTGATTGCGTGTGATCAGGGGTGTATTCATTCCACCAATTATGTTGAAAAATGTTTCTTAAACGGAAGCAAACGGATTGAAAAAGGGACAAACATACCTGAATCTGTCCAATAGAAACTTGTTTGCAACTGTTGGACTAATGATTACACCCTAGATCAGTTAGATGCAGGCAAGAGTGTGCAAGGCGGTATTGAATGTGTCAATGTCTGTCACCTTGATTACAAAAACGTCTCTCGACTTATGTTGTAAACTTTCATTTGTAGGCTAGGTTGTAGCAACCTCACGATGGGTATAGGGAAACTTAGAGTATGATATAGTAGCCTAAACCTATCGATGTGACATTGAACTGGGTGAATGGAATACGAATGTCAGTCATCCAATATGCTGTAATAGAAATAAGGCCTTGCTCATAAAAAAAAAAAAAATATTCTCCCTTATCTTAAACGGCCCCGACCGCCACTGACATTGACATATCTATTCTTTTTTTGGGTGGAAAAGTTGATATGGTATTTACCATAGACAACTACAGAATACATTATACATAATAATAAGAGTTCTGTTGGGGTATAAATCAGTTAATAAACTCATCAGTTTTTTTCCTCAATATTGTAATTGATTTAACAGCTCAGAACACGTTAGCTGGAAAGGGAGTTGGGATATGTGAAGACCTGATCACTCTACAGATCACATCCTCCACGGTGTGTGACCTCAGTCTGATTGACTTACCTGGGATCACCAGGGTAGCTGTGAAAGGACAACCAGATGACATTGGAGCCCAAGTAAGTCTAACGTTAGAGTGTATAGCTTTTGGACTTTTGTCCAGTACATTGCTTGGTTATCTCATGGCTATTGGTTCTCATCTCATGATACACTAATGATGAATTGTTTTAGCCAGGTGTACGGACTTTTTACCATAATTGCTAGAAAGGTAGCTATGATGGTTGAAGCGGGTGAAAGGTACTTTGAATGTGTTGGCTTTGAAGAAGGTTAAGCTTCAGAACCATGAAAAACAGAGTGCCCCACACAGGGCTATATCACGGGTAACAAGCGGTCGGCTACCCTCTTGTGGATGAATCAAATAACTCGGTCAAAGGCTTGCATCCTGACTGTCTGTCACATTCTTCTTCCTTTTTTTGCTAGATCAATAATCTCATTACAAAATACATCAAGAATAAGAGAACCATTATTTTGGTGGTGGTACCATGTAATGTTGACATAGCAACAACAGAGGCCCTGAAAATGGCACAAGAAGTGGATCCTGAAGGCACAAGAACTCTGGGTAAAGAAATTATATAGATACATGTATTTTCTATAGGGTTTATGGATTAGCAGTTATCATCATGCTTTTCATTTGTCTTCAAGCCATTCTGACAAAGCCAGACCTGATAGACCCGGGAGCAGAGAAGAATGTGTTGGAAATTGTCCACAATAGAGTCATCGTTCTCAATATGGGCTATGTCATTGTGAAATGTCGTGGTCAGAAGCAAATTGATGAAAACATGTCCATAGCTCGTGCGATTGAGGACGAGTTGGAATTCTTCCAAAATCATGAACACTTCAGGTAAAATGTGTTCTTGCCATGTGTTAAGTGAACTAGCATCTTTGTTTTTTGATGGCTTCACATCTGAAAATGTTCAGGGCCACAAACTGTATGTTTCAGGATTTTATGAAAAGTATATTTTTCCACATATCCACTGAGAGTAGTTCCATTTAGTATTGATGAATGGTATTTTCTTCTGAGTCCCAGGCCTTTTTATTGCTCACTCACCTCCCTTCTCTTACATTTCTACATATAGTACTTTTTAACATTCAAAATCAAATAGCTAAATGATCCTTGGTGTGATCATCTTTAAACAATTCCACATGTTAATTTAGCTCATGCACATATCTCAAGCTTAAACAGACGGATTTTGATGGGGATTATTTTATTATGTTAATTAGATTTCCATGGGGGCGCGACCATTGTAGGCCAAGGGGTTAACTGACATTTGTATTTGACATTTTTTATAAAATTTTCGGGATGAAATACTGTGTTTGTTAAATTTCTCTTCCTTTTAATGTATAGATCCCTCTTGCGTCAGGAGAAGGCAACCACCAAGTGCCTAGCCACTAAGCTCAGTAATGCCCTGGTCAAACAGATCAAGGTTAGTCCAACCACATACCCTATGATTATCTGTTTCCAGTGCACACTGGAAAACATGTGGTCTGGTACCTATTAACTTGTTGTATGTTTGCTCCTGGTCAGAAATACCTGCCCCAGATGTCAGAGAAGATAAAGGAGCAGCTGGCGGACGTAAAGATTGCATTGAGTAAAATAGAGTGTGGGCCTCCCCTGGAACCTGCAGAGAAGAGAAAGTACCTCATTCAGGTGAGTCAATCTTTCACCTTTCCATCTTTCAGCTTCGTAAACGGCTTCTTTTCTACAAAATTGCCATACAAATGTATGATGTAAGGTTTGGAAGCCACACTGTTGCACAGTGGTCCAGCTGTGTTATTGTCATGGTTTGGTAAATTGTCAGGAGAATGTCCTTGGGAGACAAACGTCTGTTTCTATCACTCCTATAGACAGTAAAGGCATCAACTCTGTTGCACATCCTCTGCCAATTGGATTGGTCAGATTTGCAACACAGCTGTAAGAGTAGAACCACTGTCCAGAAAGACAAATAAAACAGCATCAAAACTTTCTCCACTCTCCCACTTCCTCCACACTCCTTCCTTAATTTCCCACTGATTATGTTTGTCACCAAGTTAAACAATACTTTGCCTTGACAGCTGATCTTGCAAAAACACTTGGACACACCAGTGTAAGATAGTTCTTGCTTAATAGCTGTAGATGACGTAAGGATGGATGGGTCTTGTGGAGCCATCTCATAAAACAGTAATCTAAAAGGACTAAATATGAACCATTTAAACAGGTAGGTTTTATTTTGTTATGTTTCCTTCTTCAGGTCATAACAGAGTTCAATGAGCAGATTACCCAGCTGTCCACAGGGGATATTATCGTTGAGGAAAATCTATTTGAGCTCATGCGAAAGGCATTTATAGACTGGATGGAATGTCTGAAATATGCCAAATCAAATTGTAGGTACAATTTTGAATAGACAGGATATTGCTCACCAACTAAATATTTATGTTTCCAAATATCCCTAATATTTACTGATATAATTATTATACTACTAATAGTTATGTCATACAATAGTGATTATAATCCATTATATCTCCAATAAATGATTAACATTGTTTTCCTCAATTTAGACAACGATGAAGTGCAACAAGTGGTCAATGAATATGACAAGGAACACAGGGGAAGCGAGCTGCCTGGTTTCAGTAACTACAGGGCATTTCAACATGTTGTTCAGAAACTAGTGGCTAAACTTAAGGATCCAGCTATGGTGACACTAGAGAAAATCAGAGGTAAGTGACCAAAAAGCCCTAGGTTTGATGTGATTTTCTAAATGCCCCTTTATTGAACATCATGCATGGGTCTCTACTTCTGTCAAGACAAACATGCCTATTATATTAAGTAGTAAGCACTCAAGAAAGCAAGTATTGGTGAATCACACCCCCATCCACATCGACAGGGCTGAAGTGGGCGGGTCGAGAGCATTAAGTTCCTCGGTGTCCAAATCACTAATGACTTAAAATGGTCCACACAAGCGCACACTTGTTAAGAAGGCAAGACAGCGCCTCTCCCCCTCAGGAGGTTAAAAAAGGTTTGGCATGGGCCCTCAAATCTTCAAACAGTTCTACAGCTGCACCACTGAGAGCATCTTGACTAGCTGCATCACCGCTTGGTATGGCAACAGCGCCACCCTCCATCGCATGGCGCTACAGAGGGTGGTGCGGACAGCCCAGTACATTGTTGGGGTCGAGCTCCGTGCCATCCAGGACCTCTATAGCAGGCGGTGTGAAAGGAAGGCCCGGAAAATTGTTAAAGACCCCAGCCACCCAAGCCATAGACTGTTCTCTCTGCTTCTGCACGGCAAGCGACTCCTGAACAGGCTCCTGAACAGCTTCTATCCCCAAGCCATAAGACTGCTAAACAGATAACAGAATGGCTACCAGACAATCTGAGTTGACCCCTGTATTTATTTGTATAGTTTCACTGTCTCTATGCACACTCACAGAACTCTACAGACGCACACACACTGTCGCTCCCACACACACACACACACACACACATACACACTCACTTAATTTGCTCAAACACATAATATCCACACACATTTATACTGACTCTAAACACACACACTCACATGTATTCATCATACACACAGCTGCTACTCTGTATATCATATACAGTGGGGGAAAAAAGTATTTAGTCAGCCACCAATTGTGCAAGTTCTCCCACTTAAAAAGATGAAAGAGGCCTGTAAGTTTCATCATAGGTACACGTCAACTATGACAGACAAAATGAGAGAAAAAAAATCCAGAAAATCACATCGTAGGATTTTTTATGAATTTATTTGCAAATTATGGTGGAAAATAAGTATTTGGTCAATAACAAAAGTTTCTCAATACTTTGTTATATATCCTTTGTTGGCAATGACACAGGTCAAACGTTTTCTGTAAGTCTTCACAAGGTTTTCACACACTGTTGCTGGTATTTTGGCCCATTCCTCCATGCAGATCTCCTCTAGAGCAGTGATGTTTTGGGGCTGTCGCTGGGCAACACGGACTTTCAACTCCCTCCAAAGATTTTCTATGGGGTTGAGATCTGGTGACTGGCTAGGCCACTCCAGGACCTTGAAATGCTTCATACGAAGCCACTCCTTCATGCCCGGGCGGTGTGTTTGGGATCATTGTCATGCTGAAAGACCCAGCCACGTTTCATCTTCAATGCCCTTGCTGATGGAAGGAGGTTTTCACTCAAAATCTCACGATACATGGCCCCATTCATTCTTTCCTTTACACGGATCAGTCGTCCTGGTCCCTTTGCAGAAAAACAGCCCCAAAGCATGATGTTTCCACCCCCATGCTTCACAGTAGGTATGGTGTTCTTTGGATGCAACTCAGCATTCTTTGTCCTCCAAACACGACGAGTTGAGTTTTTACCAAAAAGTTCTATTTTGGTTTCATCTGACCATATGACATTCTCCCAATCCTCTTCTGGATCATCCAAATGTACTCTAGCAAACTTCAGATGGGCCTGGACATGTACTGGCTTAAGCAGGGGAACATGTCTTGCACTGCAGGATTTGAGTCCCTGGCGGCATAGTGTGTTACTGATGGTAGGCTTTGTTACTTTGGTCCCAGCTCTCTGCAGGTCATTCACTAGGTCCCCCTGTGTGGTTCTGGGATTTTTGCTCACCGTTCTTGTGATCATTTTGACCCCACGGAGTGAGATCTTGCGTGGAGCCCCAGATCGAGGGAGATTATCAGTGGTCTTGTATGTCTTCCATTTCCTAATAATTGCTCCCACAGTTGATTTCTTCAAACCAAGCTGCTTACCTATTGCAGATTCAGTCTTCCCAGCCTGGTGCAGGTCTACAATTTTGTTTCTGGTGTCCTTTGACAGCTCATTGGTCTTGGCCATAGTGGAGTTTGGAGTGTGACTGTTTGAGTTTGTGGACAGGTGTCTTTTATACTGATAACAAGTTCAAACAGGTGCCATTAATACAGGTAACGAGTGGAGGACAGAGGAGCCTCTTAAAGAAGAAGTTACAGGTCTGTGAGAGCCAGAAATCTTGCTTGTTTGTAGGTGACCAAATACTTATTTTCCACCATAATTTGCAAATAAATTCATTAAAAATCCTACAATGTGATTTTCTGGAGAAAAAAAATTCTCAATTTGTCTGTCATAGTTGACATGTACCTATGATGAAAATTACATGCCTCTCTCATCTTTTTAAGTGGGAGAACTTGTACAATTGGTGGCTGACTAAATAATTTTATTCCCCACTGTATTCTGATGCCTAGTTACCTTACCCCTATACATATCTACCTCTATCACTCCAGTATCCCTGTCACCTTACCCCTATACATATCTATCTCCATCACTCCAGTATCCCTGCACATTGTAAATATGGTATTGGAACTGACCCTGTATATAATCACCTTACCCCTATACATATCTACCTCCATCACTCCAGTATCCCTGTCCCCTTACCCCTATACATATCTACCTCTATCACTCCAGTATCCCTGTCACCTTACCCCTATACATATCTACCTCCATCACTCCAGTATCCCTGTCCCCTTACCCCTATACATATCTACCTCTATCACTCCAGTATCCCTGTCACCTTACCCCTATACATATCTACCTCTATCACGCCAGTATCCCTGTCCCCTTACCCCTATACATATCTACCTCCATCACTCCAGTATCCCTGTCCCCTTACCCCTATACATATCTACCTCTATCACTCCAGTATCCCTGTCCCCTTACCCCTATACATATCTACCTCTATCACTCCAGTATCCCTGTCCCCTTACCCCTATACATATCTACCTCTATCACTCCAGTATCCCTGTCACCTTACCCCTATACATATCTACCTCTATCCTCCAGCTCCTCCTGCAGTTGTAAATATGGTATTACAACTGCCCTGGGAAACTGCCTTGTTTATGTCACCTTACCCCTAACATACTATCTCCTCACTCCAGTATCCCCCTGTCACCTTACCCCTCTACCTCTATCTCCATCACTCCAGTATCCCTGCATGTTGTAACTATGGTATTAGAACTGACCCTGGAACTGACTGTTTTATAGTCCACCTTACCCTAGACATATCTATCTCCCATCACTCCAGTATCCCTGTCCCTTACCCCTATACATATCTACCTCTATCATCCATTTATCCCTGTCACCGTACCCCTTAACATTCTACCCTCTATCACTTCCAGTATCCCTGGTCCCCCCTTACCCCCTATACAATATTATCTCCATCACTCCAGTATCCCTGTCCCTTACCCCTATACTATCTACCTCTATCACTCCAGTATCCCTGTCACCTAACCCTATACATATCTTACCTCTATCACTCCAGTATCCCTGTCACCTTACCCCTATACATATTACCTCCATCACTCCCGTATCCCCGTCCCCTTACCCCCTATACATTCTACCTCTATCACTCCCGTATCCCGTTCACCTTACCCCCCATCTATCTACCCCTATCCCTCCAGTATCCCCGTCCCCTTTCCCCTATACATATCTACTCTATCCTCGTATCCCTGTCCCCTTACCCCCATACAATTACCTCTATCACTCCAGTATCCCTGTCCCCTTACCCCATACATATCTACCTCTATCACTCCGTATCCCTGTCACCTTTACCCCTTTTACAATCTACCTTATCACTCCCGTATCCCGTTTACCTTACCCCTATACATATCTACCTCCATCACTCCAGTATCCCTGTCCCTTCCCCTATACATATCTACCTCATCACCCATATCCTGTCCCTTACCCAACATATACCTCTATCACTCCTACCTGTCACCTTACCCCATACTATCTACCTCTATCACTCCAGATCCCTGTCCCTACCCTATACTACTCCTCCATCCTCCAGTACCTGTCCCCTTACCCTAACTCATCTCATCACTCCAGTATCCCGTCACCTTACCCCTATACATATCTACCTCTATCACGCCAGTATCCCTGTCCCTTACCCCTATACATATCTACCTCTATCACTCCAGGTCCCTGTCCCCTTACCCCTATACATATCTACCTCTATCACTCAGATCCCTGCCACCTACCCCATACATATTACTCTACACTCCAGATCCCTTTACCACCCCTATACATATTACCTCTTCACTCCAGTACCCGTTCCCTTACCCATAAATCTACCTCCATCACCCGTATCCCTGCATGTTGTAAATATGGTATTAGAACTGACCCTGGAACTGACCTTGTTTATAGTCACCTTACCCCTATACATATCTATCTCCATCACTCCAGTATCCCTGTCCCCTTACCCCTATACATATCTAATTCCATCACTCCAGTATCCCGTCACCTTACCCCTTACATATCTATTCTCATCACTCCATATCCCTGATGTTAAAAATGGTATTTGAACACCCTGGAACTGACCTTTATAACCTTACCCATATTTTAATCTCCATCACTCCAGTATCCCTGTCCCCTTTCCCCATACATATCTACCTCTATCACGCCAGTATCCCCGTCACCTTAACCCCTATAATATCTACCTCTATCACTCCAGTATCCCTGTCCCTTTCCCCTATACATATCTATCTCCATCATCCAGTATCCCTGTCCCCTTACCCCTATACAATATACCCCTATCACTCCAGTATCCCTGTCACCTTACCCCTATCACTATTACCTCTATCACTCCAGTACCCTGCCCTTACCCCTATAATACTCCCCACTCCAGATCCCTGTCCCTTACCCTATACATATCTACCTCTATCACTCCAGTATCCCTGTCACCTTAAACCCTTACATAACCTCCATCACTCCTATCCCGTCCCCTTACCCCTTACTATCTACCTCTATCACTCCCCTATCCCTGTCACCTTACCCCCCATACATATCTACCCTCTATCAATCCAGTATCCCTGTCACCTTACCCCTATAATATCTACCTCCATCACTCCAGTATCCCGTCCCCTTACCCCTATAAATCTACTCCATCACTCCAGTATCCCTGTCCCTTACCCCTATACATATCTACCTATCACTCCCTATCCTGTCACCTTACCCTATACATATCTACCTCTACACTCCAGTATCCCTGACCTTACCCTATACTATCACCTCCATCACTCCCGTATCCCTGTCCCCTTTCCCCTATACATATCTATCTCCATCACTCCAGTATCCCTGTCACCTACCCCTATACATATCTACCTCTATCACGCCAGTATCCGTCCCCTTACCCCTATACATACTACCTCTATTTACTCCAGTATCCCTGTCCCCCTTTCCCCCATTACATATCTAACCTCTATCATCCAGTATCCCGTCCCCTTACCCCCCTATACATATCTACCTCTATACTCCAGTATCCCTGTCCCTTACCCCTATACATATTTACCTCTATCACTCCAGTATCCCTGTCCCTTACCCCATACATATTACCCCTTATCACTCCAGTATCCCTGTCAAACCCTTACCCCTATACAATACCTCTATCACTCCAGTAATCCTGTCCCCTTACCCCTATACATATCTACCTCTATCACTTCAGTATCCCTGTCCCCTTCCCCTATACATATCTACCTCTATCACTCCGTCCCTGTCACCTTACCCCTATACATATCTACCTCTATCACTCCGTATCCCTGTCCCCTACCCCTATACATATCACCTCTATCACTCCAGATCCCCCGTCCCCTTACCCCTATACATATCTACCTCCATCACTCCAGTATCCCTGTCCCCTTCCTATACATATCTACCTCTATCACTCCCGTATCCCTGTCACCTTACCCCTATACTATTACCTCTATCACTCCAGTATCCTGTCCCTTACCCTATATTCTACCTCCACTCCAGTATCCCTGTCCCCTTACCCTATACATATCTACTCATCACTCCAGGATCCCTGTTCCCTTACCCCTATACATATCTACCTCTATCACTCAGATCCCTGTCACCTTACCCTATACATATACATCTACCTCCATCCCCATCTTATCCCAGTGTACCCGTCACTACCCTATACAATCTACCTCCATCACGCCATCCCTGTCCCCTTACCCCTATACATATCCCTCCATCACTCCAGTATCCCTGCATGTTGGAAATATGGTATTAGAACTGACCCTGGAACTGACCTTGTATGTAGTGTCTTACTTCTCATCTTCTTATTTTTTCTTATTTTTATTCCTCAAGTGTTTTTGTTCTACCTTGTGTTATTTTTAGTACTTCATTGTTGAGTTTAGAGCTTGCAAGAAAGACATTTAATTGTACGTGTGCACGTGACATTAAAACTTTAATTGACTAAATAGGATAGTTCACCCAAATGTTTCATACTTCGTGTCCAAATGATCCTAATGTATCTCAAATTGATTGTGTAACTCAATTAAGTTACTTATTGATTATTTGGACATGAAGCAGAAACATATTCTAATATTGGGACTATTTACTTAATTTTGTAATTTGGCTGAACTACCCCTTTAAATGAAAACATTTTGTGGACTCTCTTTACCAAATTCTTTTTGTTTTTCAGAAATGGTGCAGAAGCAATTTGATCAATTGTCCAGAGAGAGCTTTAAGAATTATCCTTATCTTCAAAAGTTCTCAACGGTAATTAAAATAGTAAATTGTTAAGCACTCTGAAATTATAATCTTACAATTCTGTATTCTGTGATTTTAGCCTGAATTCGAAATCTTACGAGGTTAGTGGGACTAGCAAGAAGGCAGGAAAACATGGGGCAAAGTAGCACTTAAAAATCACAATATTTTTTTTATGAGGAATTCTAATTTACAGGTTGTCCTTTGTAGGATTGTAGCCTGAAACGTTCAAAATAAAACACCACAAGATACTTAGAGCATGTCGAACTTAACTTTTATCTGAAACATTAACAGTATTATACTGTCTCCCTGCATCCAAGGTTCTTTATGTGCTCATGATATCTTAATCTTTGTATAAACTCATAGATGAACATTGAAAGAATCCAGGAAGATCAGTCAAAAATAGTGAAGGAGAGGATCAAGGAGCAGTTTGAGATGGAGATGCAGGTCTACACACAGGATGAAATCTTCAACAAGTATAATCTTGAAGAGGGGGAAACAACAGACAACTCAGAGCACGACACCAGGAGCAAGTACCCAGGGCTGCTCAAGTCATACTATGAGGTACAATGCAACACAAGTACCCAGGGCTGCTCAAGTCATACTATGAGGTACAATGCAACACAAGTACTGTAAAGTATGTTTCGCTTAAAGAGAGTAGGAGGAGAAGTTCCAGAAATAAAATGTAATTAACTAAAACCTGACATACAGCTGGCAGGTTATGTACAGAGGGCAGGTTATGTACAGCGGGCAGGTTATGTACAGCGGGCAGGTTATGTACAAGCGGGCAGGTCATGTACAGCTGGCAGGTTATGTACAGCGGGCAGGTTATGTACAGCGGGCAGGTTATGTACAGCTGGCAGGTTATGTACAGTGGGCATGAAAAAAAAAATTATGTACAGCGGGCATGTTATGTACAGCGGGCAGGTTATGTACAGTGGGCATGTAAAAAAAATTTTTTTGTACAGCGGGCATGTTATGTACAGCGGGCAGGTTATGTACAGCTGGCAGGTTATGTACAGTGCCTTGCAAAAGTATTCATCCCCAGTGGGGTTTTTTCCCTATATTGTTGCATTACAACCTGTAATTTAAATTGATTTTTATTTGGATTTCATGTAATGGACATACACAAAATAGTCCAAATTGGTGAAGTGAAATTAAACAAATAACTTGTTTCAAGAAATTCGAAAAAATAAATAACGGACAAGTGGTGCGTGCATATGTATTCACCCCCTTTGCTATGAAGCCCCTAAATAAGATCTGGTGCAACCAATTACCTTCAGAAGTCACATAATTAGTTAAATAAAGTCCACCTGTGTGCAATCTAAGTGTCACATGATCTGTCACATGATTTCAGTATATATACACCTGTTCTGAAAGGCCCCAGAGTCTGCAACACCACTAAGCAAGGGGCACCACCAAGCAAGCGACACCATGAAGACCAAGGAGCTCTCCAAACAGGTCAGGGACAAAGTTGTGGAGAAGTACAGATCAGGGTTGGGTTATAAAAAAATATCAGAAACTTTGAACATCCCACGGAGCACCATTAAATCCATTGTAAAATAATTGAAAGAATATGGCACCACAACAAACCTGCCAAGAGAGGGCCACCCACTAAAACTCACAGACCAGGCAAGGAGGGCATTAAACAGAGAGGCAACAAAGAGACCAAAGATAACCAGCTGCAAAGCTCCACAGCGGAGATTGGAGTATCTGTCCATAGGACCACTTTAAGCCGTACACTCCACAGAGCTGGGCTTTACGGAAGAGTGGCCAGAAAAAAGACAGAGCTTAAAGAAAAAAATAAGCAAACATGTTTGGTGTTCGCCAAAAGGCATGTGGGAGACTCCACAAACATATGGAAGAAGGTACTCTGGTCAGAATCAAATAAAATTGAGCTTTTTGGTCATCAAGGAAAACGCTATGTCTGGCGCAATCCCAACACCTCTCATCACCCCGAGAACACCATCTCCACAGTGAAGCATGGTGGTGGCAGCATCATGCGGTGGGGATGTTTTTTCATCGGCAGGGACTGGGAAACTGGGCAGAATTGAAGAAATGATGGATGGCGCTAAAAACAGGGAAATTCTTGAGGGAAACCTGTTTCAGTCTTCCAGAGATTTGAGACTGTGACGGAGGTTCACCTTCAAGCAGGACAATGACCCTAAGCATTCTGCTAAAGCAACACTTGAGTGGTTTAAGGGGAAACATTTAAGTGTCTTGGAATGGCTTGTCAAAGCCCAGACCTCAATTCAATTGAGAATCTGTGGTATGACTTAAAGATTGCTGTACACCAGCAGAACCCATCCAATTTGAAGGAGCTGGAGCAGTTTTGCCTTTAAGAATGGGCAAACATCCCAGTGGCTAGATGTGCCAAGCTTATAGAGACATCAACCAAGAGTCTTGCAGCTGTGATTGCTGCAAAAGGTGGCTCTACAAAGTATTGACTTTCGGGGGATGAATAGTTAGGCACGCTCAGGTTTTCTGTTTTTTTGTCTTATTTCTTGTTTGTTTCATAATAACAAATATTTTGCATCTTCAAAGTGGTAGGCATGTTGTGTAAATCAAATGATACAAACCCCACAAAAATCAATTTTTATTCCAGGTTGTAAGGCAACAAAATTGGAAAAATGCCAATGGGGATGAATACTTTCGCAAGCCAATGTAGCGTACTTATCGACAAACTTTCTCATCAGGGTCTTCCACAAATTTGGGGAGATCTCAACGTGTATGTATGGACTACAGCTAGCTCTGGTACCCCAGAGACAGATTAGAGATTGGACACTGAGGTTTCTGCATCAAATCAAATCTATTGTATTCATCACATACACAGTTTACAGCTGGTATAAAAGGTGCAGCGAAATGCTTATGTGCTAACTCCCTCAACAATGCAGTACCGTGCTGATATACCGTGTGTTATAGGGAAATAATGCACGCTCTAGAATGCCCTTCAAGCCAATCAGAAACGATTATTCAACAATGCCATGGTATATTCAATAATAACATTATGATGTATTTACATTACACAGTGTAATAAAAAATGTCCATATGGCAGCCATGTTTACTCCCGATGGGCAATATTGACCAATAGCTGTGTAACTGAAAGTCTACAATTAGAATTTGAATCCACATACTTGTCATGAATGGATAAATAGAATGCTCAAAGGCGTCCGTTCTAAAAGTTGGTCCAACTCTCTATGTACAGTATATAGCTCTGCTCCAGCCTGTACAATGAATCCATGACATCATCAATGGGCATGATCAGATCTCTCATGAATGCTTTTTTGACAAATCTTTCAAACATGAATTGTTGTGGCAGGGTTGCTTTATGGTAAGTTGCATTTTGCGTACCAATCCAACTCTGAAGTCTATATGTTCAACTTGCTGAGCCTTGGTTGCCATTTGGCAATATTTTGGTTGCCTTGTGGCCATCTCATCACTTCGGGCCCTCACTCTCCCTCCCACCTCACCTCTCTCAGCTCTTTCACCTCTCTCACCTCTCTCACAGATTGTGGTGCAAAGACTGGCTGACCAGGTGCCCATGCTGATCCGTTACTTCATCCTCAAGCAGTCAGCCAAGATTGTGTGCAGTGAAATGCTGGATCTGCTACACAGAGACAACACTGATGACATCCTACAGGAGGACTTGGAGATCGGACACTATCGTGCAAAGTTGCAGGCCCAAGCGGACCGCCTTTTACTGGCCAATGACAAAGTCAGCAGCCTCTGAGAGGGTGACGCCTAGACAGTTACAAAATTCAGAGATGTTGCCAAAAAAAGAAACTGTTTAATTAACTGCTGGATCAGTGTCCCAAAATCGGGACAGTTACTGCTCAATATGCAATATTTGACTAGAATGGCGTTGTTAACAACAGCCAACTTTCTGGGACATAGACATGTCTTGTATCGTCAGAAAGCTTAAATTATTGTTAATCTAACTGCAGTGTCCAATTTACAATAGCTATTACAGCGGAAAAATACCATGCTATTGTTTAGGATAGTGCACAACAACAAAACACTTTTATCAAGGCAACTGGTTTGATACATTCACCTCTGAAGGTAAATAATGTACCTACATTCAGTAATCTTGCTCTGATTTGTCATCCTGAGGGTCCCAGAGATAAAATGTAGTGTAGTTTGGTTGATGAAATCAATTTTTATATCCTAACGTCTGCTGTTCAGACGACCCCAGTGAAATCCAACAGGAGGAACCAGAGGGCGGCCGGAAACGCAAAAGGTTGCAGTACCAAGCGGATCACCTTGGACTGGCCAATGGCAAGACTAGTAGACTGTGGTTGACAATTTGTCAATGCAGAAATTCTGAGATGTAGCCAACAAAGACTACAATAATTATACCTACATTTGATCTCAGCATTCAGAAACATTGTAAATGATGGTCATCTCTACATTTTAGAGTTGTCAAAATTGTGATTCAGAGAAAACGATTTGACAGTTGTATCATCACATATCTGCAATGTGGAGTGTTATTATGTTTTCATCTCATAATGTACTAATGAAATATGTGAAGATGGTTGATATTATTATTTAAAGTGACAAATGAAACAAAGGTTGTATCCATTTTCTGATTGGTCAGAGCGCATCGATGTAGAGAAACACTATAGGATGGCATTATAACGGACTTGATGCCAGTTTTGATAAAAAGTGAATAACAACCGTGATAATGTCAGGTCCCTCTTTAAAACTGGAATGGTTTAGTTATAAATGATGTTTAAGGAGATTTGAAGGAGATAAAGAACTTTTCTAAAGAGATATTAAACAGAGAAGAACATAGCAGACCATTACACTGCCCTATGTCTTTATTTGGACAAAGAGATATTAAACAGAGAAGACCATAGCAGACCTTTACACAACCCTACGTCTTTATTTGGACATTGAAGCTAAATTGTGTACATTTGGCCCCCAATTCTTTTTTTCCACCATGTCAAATTAATGTATTTTGTTAGATGTTTCATGACGCTTGTCTCTAAACCAAAATAGATCATTTTAAGATTGTTCCCGATCTAACATTACATTTAAGTCATTTAGCAGACGCTCTTATCCAGAGCGACTTACAGTTAGTGCATACATTATAATTTTTTTATTATAATTTTCTTTTTTTTCATACCCCATGTGGGAATCAAACCCTCAACCCTGGCGTTGCAAACGCCATGCTCTATCAACTGAGCTACATCCCTGCCGGCCATTCCCTCCCCTACCCTGGACGACGCTGGGCCAATTGCGCGCCGCCCCATGGGTCTCCCGGTCACGGCCGGCTACAACAGAGCCTGGATTTGAAAAACAGAGGTGTTTCAGCCCTCCAGGACCGGAATTGAAGAACCCTGCTGTAACGTAACAAATTCAAGGGGGTCTCAATACTTTCCGAATGCATTCGGACTGTATTATAAGTGTGTCACTAATATAAATACCTGAGAAAATCTACACTGAGCTGTATAGGTGTGTATTCTGGGGCCAATCTAAGAAAAGGATTCATTTGAATCCAGCTATCTCTATACCTATTATCAGAGGGAGGGGGACCTATATCCATGATCTTGACCAGATAGACAGATCACCTGCAGATGATGGAGAACCTTATAACTCTCCAGAGCTGTAACCAGGGTTTGAGTTTTACTGAGGTCTGGAAGGACATTGATTTACGGCATTTCTATTCAATAAAAACACATTCAAATGCTATTTGTAGAACAGCAAAAACAAGCAAAAATGACCCCAGCCATTATGACCGTGGCTGCTGTAGGTTCATTCACCTCAGTCCATCTACAAACACCTAGCCTATGAACTATACAATTGTAATGATATACTCCTGAAAGAGGGAAATCTGATGAATTATTCACACTGATATGTAGGATCAGCGACGAAACGAAAATGTAGGACATTTTTACAACTGTATTGTTTGCATTTTGATTGCATTTTAATGACGGCCTACAGGGAAGATAGGACCTGTGGAGATGTTCATATCAAAACATATCTTCTTTTTTTTTTTTTTTTTTTTTTTTTTTTTTTTTTTTTTTTGATAAGATTAGTACAGATTTTCTCAGGGGACCCTAAATGGGCAACGATCCCAAGTTTGGGAACCACTGTACTAACCACTCCCTCTGCTTGCTTACTTGTGGTCCTCTGTAGCTCAGCTGGTAGAGCACGGTGCTTATAATGCCAAGGTAGTGGGTTCGATCCCCGGGACCACCCATACACAAAAAAAAATGTATGCACGCATGACTGTAAGTCGCTTTGGATAAAAGCGTCTGCTAAATGGCTTATTATTAATTATTATTGACTCTCTCTGTCTCCTCTGCTTTCTCCTCTATGCATTGCAGCCTGCCTCAGCCTCGCCACTGAGCACCACATGACTGTCTGTCTCAGTAGCCTCCGCTCTGTAAAGCAGTAGTTAATATGAGAACTTGGTAGCGTATTCTTTGCTCCATTTTAACGTTAACTTCTTACTTCATCCTTCTAGCTGGCTAAGTAATACTAGCCAGAGCCCTTCAACGTTACTGCGATAGATTTCTCTGCCGGCAGCTAGCCACCTGACTGACTGGCATATCTACAATATAAGCGACTATTTACCAGTTGTCTGTTCATTCTTCAAGAGTAGTTTTTTCGTTTGTTTGGGGGATGTCTGTAGACACGGCAGGAGTCGCGGGACGCTTTTAAAATGGCGTTTTGTCCGGCATCTCGCAAACACAGTGGACAGTTTGTTTGACGTTTCAGCCGTTTGAGAGAGTGGTGAACGTGCTGTTAAAAAGCAAAACCAGGAGGAAGGGCAAACATAATGAAATAACTACTGTTCGTGATTCCACTTGTTCGCAAAAAGGCAGGCACTAATAGAACTCAGACAGATCAAGAATATAAGCGTTCTGAGCTTTGATCAAAGCTGGGAGCAATAGCCTATTTAGACGTTGACCCGTAATTAATTTTCATTATTGTGAACAAAAAAATATATATTTGTATTATTATTATTTTCAAATTAGAAAGAGTCTCAGAGGTCTTGCCTCGGTGTCCTCATATGGAGTTACGGCCATGATACTCGACTATTTTACAACCGGTTATAACTGGTATGACAATCTACAAAATACAAATTACCTTACATATATATTCTTAGTTGCAGTCAAAACAGCTCATAAAAGTATGTCAGTGGTATGAATACTCGGTAGAACTGTAATACAGAAACCAGCTACCTTCTGAATGTACACATAGTGCTATATTTCTGTGTATTATTCGAAAAAATAGTTATTCTACGGGAAGAAGGCAAATGTCTCCCCATGTTCCTAATAATTAGTGTTATGGTGGCTCTGCCACTAGCCAGCCACTCTGATAGAACAACTATAGCCTTTGAGGACTGTACTGTGCTGTCATCACTTCAAGCACTCAATATTACAGTGGCTTGCGAAAGTATTCACCCCTCTTGGCATTTTTCTTATTTTGTTGCCTTACAACCTGGAATTAAAAAATATTTTTTAGGGGTTGGAAACATTTGATTTACACAACATGCCTACCACTTTGAAGATGCAAAATATTTGTTATTGTGAAACAAACAAGAAATAAATTAAAAAAAAACAGAAAACTTGAGCGTGCATAACTATTCACCCCTCCAAAGTCAATACTTTGTAGAGACACCTTTTGCAGCAATTACAGCTGCAAGTGTCTTGGGGTATGTCTCTATAAGCTTGGCACATCTAGCCACTGGGATTTTTGTCCATTCATCAAGGCGAAACTGCTCCAGCTCCTTCAAGTTGGATGGGTTCCGCTGGTGTACAGCAATCTTTAAGTCATCCCACAGATTCTCAATTACATTGAGGTCTGGGCTTTGACTTGGCCATTCCAAGACATTTAAATGTTTCCCCTTAAACCACTCGAGTGTTGCTTTAGCAGTAAGCTTAGGGTCATTGTCCTGCTGGAAGGTGAACCTCTGTCCCAAACTCAAATCTCTGAAAGACTGAAACAGGTTTTCTTTAAGAATTTCCCAGGATTTAGCGCCATCCATGATTCCTTCAAATCTGACCAGTTTCCCAGTCCCTGTCAATGAAAAACATCCCCACAGCGTGATGCTGCCACCACCATGCTTCACTGTGGGGATGGTGTTCTCGGGGGGAAGAGAGTTGTTGGGTTTGCGCCAGATATAGCGTTTTCCTTCCTTTTCTGGCCACTCTTCCGTAAAGCGTAGCTCTGTGGAGTGTACGGATTAAAGTTGTCCTATGGACAGATACTCCAATCTCCCCTGTGGAGCTTTGCAGCTCCTTCAGGGTTATCTTTGGTCTCTTTGTTGCCTCTCTGATTAATGCCCTCCTTGCCTGGTCCGTGAGTTTTGATGGGCGGCCCTCTCTTGGCAGGTTTGTTGTGGTGCCATATTCTTTCAATTTTTTAAATAATGGTGCTATGTTCAAAGTTTTAGATATTTTTTTATAACCCATCCCTGATCTGCACTTCTCCACAACTTTGTCCCTGACCTGTTTCGAGATGTCCTTGGTCTTCAGGGTGCCGCTTGCTTGGTGGTGCCCCTTGCTTGGTGGTGCCCCTTGCTTGGTGGTGCCCCTTGCTCGGTGGTGCCCCTTGCTCGGTGGTGTTGCAGACTCTGGGGCCTTTCAGAACAGGTGTATATGCATTTACATTTTAGTCATTTAGCAGACGCTCTTATCCAGAGCGACTTACAGTTAGTGAGTGCATACATTTTCATACTGGCCCCCCATGGGAATCGAAGCCACAACCCTGGCGTTGCAAATGCCATGCTCTATCAACTGAGCTACACAGGACCCATATATATACTGAGATCATGTGACAGATCATGTGACACTTAGATTGCACACAGGTGGACTTTATTTAACTATTTATGTGACTTCTTAAGGTAATTGGTTGCACCAGATCTTGTTTAGGGGCTTCATTGCAAAAGGGGTGAATACATATGCACGCACCACTTTTCCAATA